CTATTCTTCACCTTCACTGTATATTCATAAGGGATGTGATCTAGGTCAAACCTGAATGGCCTAGTGGTTTTCCCAACTTTCTTCAGCTTTTAAGCCTGAATTTTGCAATGAGTAGCTCATGATCTGAACCACAGTCAACTCCAGGTCTTGTTTTTACTGATTGTATAAGAGTTTCTCCATCTTTGACTGCAAATGATATAATCAGTTTGATTTTGGTGTCCATCAGTGATATCCATGTGTAGAGTCACCTCTTAGATTGTTAGAAGAGAGTGTTCGCTATAACCAGCATGTTCTCTTGACAAAACTCTGTTAGCCTTTGCCCCGCTTCATTTTGTTCTTGAAGGCCAAACTTGTCAGTTATTCCAATTACCTTTTGACTTCCTACTGTAGCATTCTAGTCCCCTATCATGATAAGGACATCTTTTTTTGGTGTTAGTTCTAGGAGGTGTTTAGGTCTTCGTAGAACTGGTCTACTTCAACCTGTTCTGCGTCAGTGGTTGGGGCATAAACTTGGATTACTGTGATGTTGAATGGTTTGCCTTGGATTCAGACTGAGATCATTCTGTCATTTTTGAGATTTTATCCCATTACTGCCTTTCTCACTCTCTAAGGCCACACCATTTTTTCTATGGGATTCTTGGCCACAGTAGTAGATATAATGGTCTTCTGGGTTAAATTTGCCCATTCCCATCCACTTCAGTTGACTGATTCCCAAGATGTCGATGTTCAGTCTTGCCATCTCATTTTTTTTTTTTTGCCATCTCATTTTTGACCACATCCAACTTACCTCGATTCATAAATCTTACATTCCAGGTTCCTGACTGCAAATGATATAATCAGTTTGATTTTGGTGTCCATCAGTGATATCCATGTGTAGAGTCACCTCTTAGATTGTTAGAAGAGAGTGTTCGCTATAACCAGCATGTTCTCTTGACAAAACTCTGTTAGCCTTTGCCCCGCTTCATTTTGTTCTTGAAGGCCAAACTTGTCAGTTATTCCAATTACCTTTTGACTTCCTACTGTAGCATTCTAGTCCCCTATCATGATAAGGACATCTTTTTTTGGTGTTAGTTCTAGGAGGTGTTTAGGTCTTCGTAGAACTGGTCTACTTCAACCTGTTCTGCGTCAGTGGTTGGGGCATAAACTTGGATTACTGTGATGTTGAATGGTTTGCCTTGGATTCAGACTGAGATCATTCTGTCATTTTTGAGATTTTATCCCATTACTGCCTTTCTCACTCTCTTGTTGACTATAAAGGCCACACCATTTTTTCTATGGGATTCTTGGCCACAGTAGTAGATATAATGGTCTTCTGGGTTAAATTTGCCCATTCCCATCCACTTCAGTTGACTGATTCCCAAGATGTCGATGTTCAGTCTTGCCATCTCATTTTTTTTTTTTTGCCATCTCATTTTTGACCACATCCAACTTACCTCGATTCATAAATCTTACATTCCAGGTTCCTGTGCAGTATTGTTCTTTGCAGCATCAGACTTTCCTTTCACCATCAGACACATCCACAGTTGAGTGTCCTTTTGGCTTTGGCCCAGCCACTTCACTCTTTCTGGGGTTACTTGTACTTGCCTTCTGCTCTTTCCCGGTAGGATATTGGACACCTTCTGACCTGAGGGGCTTATCTTCCAGTGTCATATCTTTTAGCCTTTTGTTACTGTTCATGGGGTTTTCTTAAGTCAGGTTTGCGACAGAAGGTGAAAGCTAGTAAGGTACCGACCTGCAGAAGTATGTTTTCTGTTTGGATTGAGGGTGAATGTATCATCTGGTTCTGAGAACATAAAGCTGATTTTTAAAAGAATTCAGAAATTCTTATGCTACTCAGTCCCATTTGGGTTAGAACACTGTTTCTATAGCAGTTTTGATTTCAATTATCATTAGGGGTGTGCAGCGGGGAAAATCAGTTTTTTTTTCAGATTCGGGTATAATAAAGCCAATTTTTTTTGGTATCCCAAATATACATGAATACCAATACTGGTATTGTACTGGTACCCAAAAATATTCAGTATTCCTAGGGGGCCATTGTAGTCAATGACAAAAATCTTCTAACAGGTATTCAGGGGGCTGGGGGGGGAGGTGGTTTGTGGTAGATGCACCACATTTGTACTGTAGCTGCTGAAGCCTCTCCCCAAAAGAACCCCCCAAGTTTTGAAAAGATTGGACCAGGGGATCCAATTCTAGGGACATCCAAAGAAGGTGCTCCCAATCCTCCATTGTTCCCTGTGGAAGGGGGGAAAGGCAGGCAGCAGTGTCTCCCCGAGAATCTCTGCACTAGAAAGTAAGTGAGGTGTGGTGGTGAGAGGGGGCATGTTTGCAAGGCCAGCAGCAGAACCAGTGCAATGTGCCCACCAGAACCAGTGCATTTCAATTATCATTAGGGGTGTGCAGCGGGGAAAATCAGTTTTTTTTTCAGATTCGGGTATAATAAAGCCAATTTTTTTCGGTATCCCAAATATACATGAATACCAATACTGGTATTGTACTGGTACCCAAAAATATTCAGTATTCCTAGGGGGCCATTGTAGTCAATGACAAAAATCTTTTAACAGGTATTCAGGGGGCTGGGGGGGAGGTGGTTTGTGGTAGATGCACCACATTTGTACTGTAGCTGCTGAAGCCTCTCCCCAAAAGAACCCCCCAAGTTTTGAAAAGATTGGACCAGGGGATCCAATTCTTGGGACATCCAAAGAAGGTGCTCCCAATCCTCCATTGTTCCCTGTGGAAGGGGGGAAAGGCAGGCAGCAGTGTCTCCCCGAGAATCTCTGCACTAGAAAGTAAGTGAGGTGTGGTGGTGAGAGGGGGCATGTTTGCAAGGCCAGCAGCAGAACCAGTGCAATGTGCCCACCAGAACCAGTGCCACTGTGGCAGTCAGTGCCCAAACTCAACAAGACTCAGATCAAATCAGAGAATCTCTGGGGGCATGTTTGTAAGGCCAGCAGCAGAACCAGCACCACTAGTAGCATCCTTTAAGAGGTGTTACTGGAATCTTGCAGGGATGTAATGGCCTTTCTCTCTCTACTGTACTGTTCTAATGCTTTGGTAATATCTAGGATACCTATTAGATTAATTAGTTATTTGGGGGTCATTTAGGTAGGTTTAGTTTTTTATCTATGACTGAAGGTGGTTACAATCTGACATACAGAGCATTTAACATGGTTACAAACATCAGTGTTAAAATAATCTAACTCAAAGGTACTAATCAAGTAAAAGCATTACGCTCTTTAGATACAGCTCTAGCCTATATTTTCTTAGCTGCTAAAAACAAAGAGTGAAACTCTGTAGGAAACAAATGGATCAAAGTGTAAGAGGAGAAAAAGCAACTTCTCTGAGTCAATGGTCATTTGGTGGTCATTACAAACAAGTTTGTGGTGTAACACAGTCTGGACATAGTTTTAATTAATCTTTCATTAATTTTATGATCATTTTTGATTACTCTGTGGATGTTTATATAAAGTGCAATATATTCTGAGAAATATTCGTTGCTCAGAATTAGTGGAAGTTTTAATTTTGTATTATCCAATGCTATCATTATTCAGTTGACCACTGATAAAGACTTTGTCATACTTCTTTTCCAGCTCAGGGCAGAAGGCCAATACCCCTGTTGATTCTTCCTCTAACTGTTCCTTGCCTAAGAAGAAGCTTAGAGAACAAGCCTCTTGAGCATCAATATTAAAACACCTTAAACTTCTTTTTCTGTTTTGGATGGCCTATCTAGGGGGGGAGGGGGCCTTCCTTTTTCCTACTTGGTTTATGTCTTTCAAGACTTGCTTAATGGATCTCCCAGTGGTGTGGAATGGATAGCTTGCACACTAGTGGTGGATATACCCAGCCATGTGAACTCCACATGTAGTCAGGAGGTTCCATGTGTAGATCTGCAATAGGCATGTATAAAATAACATGTAAACTAGCCTGACTGAAGCATATTTCTTTTGTTAGTGTTTGGATGCATTCAGAGATGTTGCATTGCATTTCGTAATATTTAGCACACTCCATGGTATTGTGAACTCTCACAATTTGTACATTTTGATTTAAAGCAGCAGTGGAAAATTGCATTATATAAATGTAGTGCTTCTTTCCACAGAGGACCAAACTTGACATTAGGGCGTCCACAGCCCTATTTCAGTGCTTGAGAGGGGGAGGGAGGCCAAGATTGCCTAGTCCTGCCAAGCTGTGGGCACAATCAAGGTGCCATTTTAAATGGCCAAGTCCAGCTCTAAAATGGTGTCATTGCTCACAGGTCGAACCCATGAATGCCATAATGTCTAGCTCAGCCCTAATCTCAATGTTTATTAAGTGCAATTTTCATGGGTTATGACCTGAGTGAGATTTCAAAAATGAGTCTACAGAAAATCACCTGACTTCATAGTCTGAACTACGTTATCATTCAGTCAGACATTTGTGAGTATCAGAGGCCAATGCATCACCTCTGGTCATTTCATTAATATGTGCTTCCCTTTTTTCCCTCCCTGACAGTTACCCTGCTGTATGCGACTTCTTACAGCAAAATAACTTATTATCTATACTCCGAGCTCATGAAGCCCAGGATGCTGGGTGAGTGTTTTCCTTGCTTTTTAAATAAATTATGTTGCTGCTTGTTGCCTTCTGTACATTTCCTCCATCTGTGAAGATGAAACATATTGTTTTTCATTATACTTCAAAATGAAAATGAGCCTTGTCCTAGTCTTCTGAAATTGCTGGTTGGATTTTTATATTATGTACCTGCCTTTGGTGGGGGAAATACTTCTTAGGGCATGTTGGCATGGAGTTTAGGCTCCAAACCATGTTTTTTGTTCCATGTGTTGGTCAAACAATGGTTTATATGCTTTGCTGTATCACCCATCTATGCCCCAAACTCTCCAAATGCTATTCCAAGCCACTCAGGCCTTACTTGACTACCAGCAGGCCTTTTACTAGCTGCTGGCCAAAACAGTGGGACAGAATAGCCAAACAATTGCCTGTTGAGATCTTCAGCCTGTTCCTGGCAGAGCTCTGCTCCAGGTGTATTATTTCTTTATCCAAAACAACATTTCACAGTGCTCTGTGTCAGTCTGTATCTCATAATACTTTGTAGCATTTGTTTGTTCAGTTAATAATTGTTAACTCTTGCTCTTGTCCCATTGTCTGTCTTTGTTTTTGTGGTGGTAACCTTCTTAGCAGTTGTGAAGTACAGGAAAGTAGGAATGTGGGTGTGAAGACAAGGCTGTGGACTGAGAAGCTGGGATGAAAGGACGCTTAGGGAAACCCTGGAGTGGTTTCAGTTTTCATCCACTCTAGAGCCCACCTCTGTAGCCAGGCATCTTCCATAGGTGGAGCAATGGCCCAAACCACACATTGCACAAACTCTAGTTTGCAAACTGGTTTTCAAACCATGACAGAGGGAGTACAGACGGAGGCAAGACAAGCCTGTGTGAAAGTATCAGCACTTATACACTGATGCATCCTGAAACAGACAATGGTGACATTCCTAAAATGAGACTTCGCCTAGAGATCTTCCCTAGAGATCTTAGCTATCTTTGTAGGGAACAAAATGTATTACACGTATATTTGGATACATCTTCCTTTTTTCCCTATTGTAGGGCTCAATCCTATCACTCAGTAATTTTAGTGGGCTTGTGCACAAATTGTAGAGTACTTATGAGTAGGTTTCATACTTGTATGCAGGATGAGTAGGTCTCCTTACTCATTAAGTTCCCTGTGGAGAGATGCAGTGATTGCTTTGAACAGGAATACCATTTCTAGGTCACTGAGAGGAAACACAACTCTATGGGGGGGGGGTTTCCCTCCAGCTAACTGCTACACTGCCAATTAATTTTTGTTTGTTTGTTTTTTACGTATAGACAGATGGGGAAAATATAAAGGGTTTACAATAAATGACACCATACATTAATTATTTAGATCTTCCACAGTCAGTAAATAATTTAAAACTGTAGCACCCTGTTTTCATTACATGGTGACTTATTGTGCCACACATTTATCATGTTTGTCAGAGTTCCAGCTTTGGAGTACTCTCACAGGATTGCTTCTTGTATGTCAATTTTCATTCGTGTAGACAACTTCCATGTAGCATTATGAGGGGAATTACATTTTAAGAAATCCGCTTTGTTAGATATAGCAATCTTCTTTCAAAAGAGGGAGTTCTATTTCTCTTTGTAGACAAATCAGTGCATGCTTTTGTAACTTCAGCCCTTGCAGTTGTTTGGTATTACACACCACAGGGTTGTACTCAAAAGGACAGGAAGATTTGGGAAGACATTGCCTGCCTCTGAGCAGCTACAGAGTGAAATTCTGACATTTTGCAGGGCCTCCCTTCCTCCCCCTTCTCCTTTTGAAGTTTTCTTTGATGAAAATAGAACTGATTACAGACTCCTACTTCCTAAAAAGAGGGAAATTTCAGGAGGAAACTGGATAAAGAGGAATTAAGAGAATCTCTCTTCGCAGCTCTGCTTCCATGAAAACAAATAAAAAGTGCATGCTGGGTGGAATAAATTTCCACCCTAGAATAAATTTAGTGCTTCCATGTGCCTGCATTGTCGGCACTAACTAGCCAGCACTGTGGCTAAAGCAGAGCTCTGCCTTCCCCTTCCACCCACCCACCCACTCCTGCTTCTGTTTCAGTCCTCCTCCTGCTTCAGGGTTCAATGTTGTTGGCCTCCTCTTCCCCCAGCAATGATGCCATCAGTGGGAAGAAGAAAAAACAGGCAAGGAATTGGGGGGGGGTCTTTTTGTCCATCCCATCATGCTTTTAACAAGTTCCCTGCCTCTCTGTGCCACTGCGAACAGCTGATAGAAGAGAGGGTGTGGAGCTGAGCATATACGACATTCTGATTCCATACAGCAGAGGGTCTTAGCTAGTGGGTTCCTCAGCTGAGGACCCACAGTTTGATTGTGATTCCTCTCCCCTGATAGAGTTTGGGGGTGTTAGGTGGATTCAGGGCTCTAAGTCTCTCAGCTGACATTGAGTAGAGGGATTTAGCTAGTGGATTCCTCGACTGAGAACCCACATTTTGATTGTGAACTCTTCTCCCCTGCTGAGGATTTGGGGGTGTTATGTGGACTCAGGGCTGTGAGCCACCCTGTCTATCTGCTCAAACTGAGCAGAGGGGCTTAGCTACTGGGTGCTTCACCTGAGGACCCACATTTTATACCCTCCCACCCCTCCTGATTATGAACCTTTCTGTGCCATAGAGGTGGAAGTGGATGCAAATGGAAGGTGTCCTCCACCACCCATACCACAGGTCCCCGTCCCTGGACACCAGATTCATCCTGCCAGCCCACTGGAGCCCACCCCTAGCAGGGCATCACCAAGGATCTCAGAGTCTCCTTTTCCTGATTTGTTCCTGGGGCTCCCCAGAGAGGTAAAAGAGTTGTTAGCACTGCCCAGAGACCAGTAGTTGCTAACCCTCTTTGGAGAGCAAGACTTTAGCCATGATTCAAAGGGGGGGAACCATCCTCCCCTTCTACACAACACCCTGTTGCTACTGCTGCCTTGAGTATACCCCCCCTGTGGCCCCTCCCAGCCCAATGCCAGAAAGCAGCTGCTCCTCCTACCACCTTCTCCAATCATAGGGCCCTCTTTCCAGCCTACACTTGGGAAACATTTCTGCACACTCTCCAGTGACCCATGTGGCTGAGTGCCACTTCTTCCATGCCCATATCCAGAGTAGTGCAAACCTCCAACACTTGTCCTCCTCTGTCCTCTGCAGGCACCTGCAAGAGGTGCACCCCATTATGTTGCTGCCAGAAGAAAGAGGGGTGGCCAGTGGGAGGAAGAAGAGGTCCACTCCCTCTCAGCAGGGAGACGTGGAGGGAAAGTAAGAGGCCCCTCCAAGAAAGGCTTCCTGCACTCGGGATGTGGTGGGTGGGACATCAAGGCAGGCCACCCTCCTAGAGGTCATTCCCCCAGGGATGCCAACAGTGCCATCCAGAAGGGTTATGAGGAAGGTCCAGGAAGCAGTAACTCACCTCATCGGCAAGATGATTGCTTTGGATGGCCAACCATTCTCCCTCATGGAGGATGTAGCTTTCATTGGCTGCTGTAACACCTGGCTCCCTGGTACTCCTTCCCTTCGTGAAGTCTTGCCTGCCATGCACCACTCCACAGTGGTGATGGTCAAGGCTGAGCTCTCCAGAGTGCAAGGCAGAACCATACACTTCCCAGCAGACCTCTGGAGCAGCCAGCAGCACGGTTACCACTTCCTCACTACCCACTGGTGGCCACCAGAGGACCTCTCTGTCCAGACTGTCAGGGTATGGCCCAGGCCCCAGGAGGGGACAGTTCTGCCAGAGGGGGTGGGTGGGTGGTGGCAACATTGTTCATGGCTGCATGGTCACAGATGCCGTTGCCAGCATTCTGGCAGCAGTGAAGGCTGTGCACCTCAAGGGCATCATCTGCCTGGCACACACGCTTCACCTAGTGGTGAAGGATGCTATGAGGCTGGGGAACTCTGTCAAGGCCACCTGGGACACTGCCATCCTTGAGATGTAGCCCTTGCTGGAGACCTGCCAGCACCCGGCTGCCCACTTCTCTTGAAGCATCAAGCCTGCCTGCCTGCCGCATGAGAAATAGGGAGATAAGCCTGAACACTGGCTCATCATGAAATTATCCACCCACTGGAACTCCACCTATATCATGAGTGTGCATTTAGTGGAGCAGAAGAGCATGGTGCAGGATGTCATCTCCTCCATGTCCATCCTGCATGGGGAAGAGGAGCTCAGCATCAGTTCCAATGACTGGTCGACCCAAATGCTGTAGCCCTCAAACCATTCCAGGACACCACCAACATGTTCTGCGCCCATACAGCCAGCCTGGGGAAAGTCATCCCCCTGATTGGGGGGCTGGACTGAGTGCTGGCCTCCACACTGGAGCCAGGCCCCAAGGGGGTGGCCTTGGCACAGAGGTTGCAAGTGAGCATCACCTCCAGGTTACATCCTCTTTGCAAGAAAGGGGAGTACAAGCTGGTCTGTATCTGTGACCCCAGATAAAAGGCAATGGAAGCATGAGCTCTGCAAAGAAGTGCAGAGGCTACAGGCCAGCAGACATGGCCAGTGGAAATAAGAGGTGGAAGAGGCTGGGATGGGGGGAGATGCAGCCCAACACCTCTGCCTGTACAAGCAAGCCCCCATTTGACTACCTCTTTCCATTGCATTTGTACAATTCACAACATGTGATCTCTTTTCTGTTCTGGTAATGGTGAATAACCAGAAATTTCACCTAGGGGTGGGCTGGGACGAGCCCATAAGGGGGCCTGGAAGTGTGAGCATGCCGTGCTGGATTCCAGTGCTTGCCAGGGGTGCCTGTCAAGCTATCCTGGGGTTACTTTGGGGGGCCTCTGTCAGAACTCTGGGGATGTCTGGGTTTTTTCCTCTGGGTTACTTTGGGGAGCCTCTGTCAGAACTCTCGGGATGTCTGGGTTTTTTCCTCTCGTTCTGAACCTGCCTTTGGAGACCTCAGGGGTGGCCTGACCAGCTCGACATGTGTTTCCATTCCTCTGCACGGCAGAGTTTACTGCGGTTGATGGGTGTGCTCTGGACCTGTGTGTTTCAGTCCTTGAGAGATCACGGCTGTGAGAGTTTTGGGCATGCTTCCCTTGCTTGTCTGATGGGCCTGGGGTATCCACCAAGCTGTCTTGGAGTTACTTTTGGGAGCCCCTGTCGGAAGTCTTGTCATGTGTGCCTTTCTGTTCCAAATCTGCCTGGCCCAGCTGGCTGGACAGGTGTTTCCTGTGCAGAGTAGAAGAATACACCACAGTGTTTCAGCCCTGGGAGGGGCTGTGAGAGTTGTGGGCACATTTTCCCTGTTTGTCTTGTAGGGCTGGGGTGCCCGGCAAGCTGTTGTGGGGTTACTATGGGGAGCCCCATCAGACGTCTTGTCATGTCTCTGTCATTCCAAATCTACCTGTGGAGACTTGGGGGGCTGCAAGCGTAGGGGGGGATGCTTGTCTTGCTTTCAGTGTCTGGGTGGTGGGGAGTCTGCCCAAGTGAAGTTTCCCTGTGAGTTTGGTGTCACTGGCTTGTTCCTGAGCTGTTCCATAGATTCCTGTAACTGCAGCTGTCTTTTCCAGAGATACCACTGGGGGGGGTCCTTAACAGGAATTTCAGAAATGTAATCCACCCACAACTTGGAGAGATCATAGTGGAGCGAGCAGCAGGGTGAGGTTCCCGTTTGGTGTGTGTAGCTTGTAGGGGGCCCATTCTAGACACTTTTAAACCTGTGCCTGACATTTCCCCCAAAAGCACTTTCCTGTCTTGACCTCAGTCGTGTTGGGTTTACAGTACCACAGTGTCACTGATTCTGCTGGGCACATTGCACTAGTTCTTCTGGGCTTGCAAGAGTGCCTCCCCTTCAGTTTCTATTGCAGAGATTGACTGGGACTTTGATTCTGTTCTGCTGGGCTTCTATTTGCCCTTGCTTTTTTTTGCTTCCCCTCCCATTGGAAACAATGGAGGATGGGGGCACCTCTTTGTGGGGATGTAACTCGGACACCATAAATCCAATCTGCACATAACTTGGAGGGCATGTACACATGAAGCTGCCTTATACTGAATCAGGCCCTTGGTCCATCAGAGTCAGTACTGTCTACTCAGGCCAGCAGTGGCTCTCCAGGGTCTCAGGCTAAGGTCTTCCGCATCACCTCCAAACTGATCCTTTTAACTGGAGATGTCAGGAATTGAACCTGGGACCTTCTGCATGCAAACTAGATGTTCTACCACTGAACCACCGGCCCCTGTCAGAGGTCCACTGCAAGTCTGGTGTCTCTAGTTTGCACAGGATCTATTCTATACATTCCTGAACCTCCTGAACCTGCAGCAGTCATTTCCCCAGAAAGCACTTTCAGAGGGGGGCTGTAACTCGGACCCCATAAATAATCCAACTGTCACCAAACTTGTAGGGCAGCCAGAGATTCCCTGCAAGTTTGGTATCTTTAGCGTGGGGGAGGGTGTTCTTCCAGGTCACGGACCTCACAAACTGAACCAATTTGTTTAGTGCCAAAACATTCGTGACAGTCTGTGGTTTGCCAACTGGGCATGCCATGAACCAAACCGCATTTTCCCAGTTTGTGTCTATCCATAGGTATAGTGCAGCAGGCTGTTGCTTTGTGTACTTTTTTAATGTTGCAAAGACTCACCGCTGATTAAACGGTTGTCTAAACTGTTGCCAGCATTTGTTCTAAATATGGCTACAAACTCTCCCCCCCCCCCCAATAAATTCAAAAGCTTATAAAATGCATCTGGTATCCTTACTGAGGTACTCAACAACTCATCAAGTTTTGTTGTTACTGGTGGTTTTCTGTAAGTGAATTACTATAGACGTGATAGGGTACTTTTTATCTTTACTGCCAATATTTTGAGGGACTTTGTATTAGAAAGGAAATTAAAATGATGTGCCTTATTATTATTATTTCATTATTTCTCTAGGGTTTTTCAGTGTGGTAGAGTTCCAGTATGTGTGTCCATCCCCCCCCCCATGTTTTTTTGTTTACTTCCAAAATTCTGGGGCTTTATATTTTTGCTGATGATTGACTAAATACCTATCAGCTGAGACTGTGAAACCTTATTCTCATCACAACCAAGTGTAAATGCATAGAGGTTTTTAGTAGGCATTTATCTGATTATTCTACAGACTGCTCTAGAACTGACTTCCTTTGCATTTCCACAAAAGGGTGAAAGAATCTGGATTATTTTGTATTTAGTACTGTGTTGCACAGTGCAAGCAACACGGTTATTCTTTTTAATGGATAATTTGGGGGGTACCTAAATTGTTCCCCTCCCCTTGGTGAAACAAAGGTTGCTTTTTAAATTTGGAAGGAAGTACAGTCTGTGGTGCCAAAATAGATACAAAAAACCCAGTGGCATCCAGGCCGCTTACACTGCCTTGCTGTCCGATATTCAACTGAAAACAATCAGTGATTTGTTTATCTGTCCAGCAACAGTAACCAACTTTGGGCCTGCTTTAAGTCTGTGGTGTATCTAACATGCATTCGACTCAAACATCTATGGCATAATAATTGTGAAACCTTACTAGCTGGTGAACTGTATCCTGTGACTATAAATGGGCATACAATTATGGATATACAAGCCTCTGTAAAATCCATGTAACATCACAACTGTGTACTGATTTCTTCCTTTATCTACAACTTAACCAAGTATCCTGTAGCATATCCATAACAAGGTCTAAATTAACACTACCATGTGAGAAATTAATGATACTAATAATATTACTTATGCAATTTGTTGTAGGTACCGTATGTACAGGAAAAGCCAGACAACAGGCTTCCCTTCGCTAATTACAATTTTTTCAGCACCAAACTATCTAGATGTATACAATAACAAAGGTAAGAGTGCTTCTCCCACTACAAACTAGTTCACTTTAATTCACTGTTCTCCTTTTGCATTGTTTGACCAAAGATAGCTTTTTAATCTCCTCTTAACCCATGGCTTTTATCACACAATTTGGATTTAGTAATTTATGCTGTGATTGGATTAACCACTTTTAGCTGACAGTGCTGAGTTAGCTGTTCTTGTGGCTGCATCTGATGTTTTTCTCGCAGAAGCATATGTGTGTTGTATGTATTCTTCACTGGTTATTGTTGAACTGATTTACCAAAGGGAGCTGGTAGTTTCTAAGCACATCTCAACATTTATGAGAATTTGAACTGATCACAGACTTGGTCAACACTGCATAAACTCACAGTTTCTGTGTAAGAGACTGTTTAGCTTCAGTTTGATGTCATTCATCTGATTCTTCATCTGAATGTGTGACTGTTGGATTTTCAGTACTTTCATGTGTTATCATAAATGTCTGAAATTTGGAGTATGCCAGATGAAATGTGTGAATGTCCCAAAATGATTCCATAGTATAAATTGTTCTTCATGAGATTATCAGAAATTGCTCATGTTTACGCATCAAGCAGAGGGCATACAAAGTTCACTTGGAATTTTCAATGTTTACATATAAATATCAACATTCACCACTTACTGATAATCATTGTATATTGTACATATGCTGTTCTTATAATCTTGAGAAGGCTGAGTAGCAGAGATTCAGAGCCAAATTCTCCATTAATTAGAGTAGTTTTTCAGCTGTGGTTCGTCTTCTCACACTATTAGCCAGTTTAATGGCTGTACAAATGTGGCAAATGGAATTAGAAGGATTAATAAGAAAGTATGCATTAAGCCTTCTGAGAGCTGCCACTTCTGGTATCTTAAATAGTTCAAATTGCAATTCAGCAACTCATTTAAACAAAGTTTGTGCATATTATGTTAGAGAATTATGTTAAGATTAGGAAGCAAGCATGGATTCAGAACTGTGCTTGGATTGGAGTTTAATCTCTGTTAGCCGTGGGTTCTTTGGAGAAATTGCATTTGAGCCTCTTTTTCCATCTACATAACAAGAATCTGTATGACCTACTAATGCAGACATATAAAACTTAGCCAGGTCCTGTGGCTCAAATGTGTTCCCAGTTTGCTTCTCAGCAATCTACAGGTTACATTAAATAAAGGTTCATAAACAAAGTCCACTGAAATTTTCTTGCAGCCAGATTATGATTGTACGTACATCATTTTTATTATGATTCTCAGCTGGATGTGTAAATGGATTCCACTGGAAAACTCTGCATTGGTTTGACATGGAAGCCCTATGTTATAACTGTGACTCTTTCACACATACAAGAGCTAGTGAATGTACTACAGTGGTTAGCACATCTGTCTAGGATCAGGGGAACCAAGAGCAAATCTCCACTCAGCCAAGAAGCTCATTAGATGATCAGTTAGGTCTTTCAGTCTAACCTCCCTCACAGAATGGTTGTAAGACAGATGAGGGAAGAACTATGCACACCACCCTGATCTCCTTGAAGAAAGTACAGAATAAAAATGCTAGAGATAGGTAGCTTGATATTTGATGTTGTGACAATGAATCTGCAACTGCAAACTAGCTTTCAGTCCATAAATGTTTGGAGTCAGCAACTTTGTTCTCAGTTGTTTAGAATGTAGGCACCCACAAAGGGAGATCACATTGCATAAACAATACAGTACTGCCATCTGCCAGTGGAGGTTGTTACATAGCCATTTGCAGGTTGTACAGTTCACACAGCTGATGTCATGATAAGAGTTCCAGAAGAAATATCTGACTTTTTCAGTGCCCATGTTCTAGTAACCGGCTTCTGAAGTACTACATTGGGGGGGGGGCAGGGGTATTCAAACAGCTAAATGAGGATGTGGCCGCATGGCATGTATGAGGGGACCTTCTGTGCAATCCTGGAAAGAGTTAACCTAAGTCTGTTGAAGTCAATGGACTGCTCATTACATTTTCCAACTCTGTTTAGGATTATTCTGTTAGTGCTAGGATTGTAGATAAGTAGAATTAATATAGACAGGACTGTGTAGTGACCTGTACAGTTTCTGTTGTAGCCGCAGGTTTTTCCCCACCGCTACAGTACTGGAAGCAATCAGATCATAATATTGCATTTTATATCAGTAACTATTAATCCTGTAGGCTAAGAGTTCCCACCTTGAAAGTTTTAATGGGCAGCCTAATTACTTTTTGTCCAATATTCAAAAATGGCAACTTTTAAATATTAACTTTAATGGCACAGTAACGCTACCAGAACACATTGGGCCAAACTTTATTCTTCCATCAATGGCTTCGAATTTTTATAATCTGTTCTTTTCATATTGATTATGAAACACATTGATTGTTATAAAGCATGTTTCCCGTTTGTTTTTTTTATAACAACCAGGGTACATGTTTTCCTAGCCTTTAAAATAAAGACAGCTTTTTAAAAATTGGTTGTTTCAAAGTTGCTTGTATTTGAGTGTCGTATCAGAGGTATAAATTATTAATGTACTGTAAGTTGGAGCAGCTTTTAGATGTCTCTGAATGAATTATTTATTTAATCACTTCATAGTTTTTAAATCCTAAAAACATTCATATTTTTGAGCCAACTGTTCTTTCAGAGGGATTTTTAAAGACTTTTTTTCCTAGGGCAGCTTTTAAAAAGGCTCCCATTAGTTTTCATAAATTATAAGTATTAGATTTTAATGTTTCAAGCCATGGTGAGATAACGCTCTCAACATTACCAGCTGGTGGGTGTAAGGGCCCCCATGTATAAGCATCTAATTAAAATACATTTTTACACATTTTGGAATCTGCTTTGGTAATGATTGGTTTTATTAACCGACATATATTGAATTGCATCTTTCTATGCCATTTTTATTTTGCCATTCCAAGACCTTAGGGTAGCTTATATGGTTATTCTCCAGCCACCCCTATACTTGTGAGGTAGTTTAGTCTGAAATACAGTGACTGGCCCAAGTTTATCCAGTATGTTTCGTGACTGAAGGGAGATGAACCTGGACCTCTCTAGTCATGGTCTCGCACACTCAGCAACAGCACCACTACAGCTCTCTTTGAGCTTTGAATATGAAAGGAAGAGTCATCCTAAGTGGTCATTAGAAAATACCAAGACTATTTACTGAAATTGCTGGCAACATTGTTGCTTGTTTAAAATTGTGAGCCCTTTTTGTTCTAGAAACCAACATTTCTGTGTCCTAAAATATGATTGTGTTAAAGGCAAGGCCTACTTTTAAAAAAACCCTATGATCTTCGACGTGGTCTCTGTGCTTCACACCCATGGGATTCAGTGTGCACGCGCTGGATCGATCGGTGCTGTAGCAAGCTCTTTTAATGGATTTTCGTGCCCAGTCCCTCAGACATGCGCAGGAACTCCATCGCGCATGCCCAGAGGGGTGGGCGCGGACATCCCGCCAGTTCCTTTCTTACCACCACGTTGGAAAGACCTTTTTCTTCGTCGATCTGATCGGTTCACGTGTTTTGACTTTTTGCCTCACGGCTCTTTGGATTTTTCCCTCAGTTTATTCTTTTTCTTCGTTCTTCTTTCAAAAAAACTTTTAAAAAACCTTTTATTTTCTTCGGAGGGGGGAGGTTGCCGCTTTACCTCAGTCGGGCCTTCAGGCTACCCCCCCCGACCGTCTACATCGACAGCTCTGGCATCGAGGCCCGCCTCGGATGTCGACCGTCCGATGCCGAAGCTCCCGGCATCGAAGGCACAATTGTCTGCTTCCACGCCACTCAAAAAGAAGGCTAAGGCAAGTAAAGATCACAAGTCCGTGAAGAAGAGCACCTCCAAGTCCCTTAAGGCGACAAAGAAGGGGAAGGAAGCGGTGCCTGCACTGGGTGATGCCCCTATAGTGCCTTCCGCTCCAATGGCAGTATCGATATCGGAGGCACAACTCCCTCCGCCACTACCGACCATCCAACTACTGGATTCCCCCATCCAACAAGTGGAGCGTCCGTACTCCAACATCGACACGGTGGAGCTCCTAAGTCACCAAATGGGTGCAGAGCTATCCCCCGCTCCTTCGACTGCGTCGGCATCGATGGTATCAGAGGCTCCCGATGTCGAAACCCATCGGTACCTACACACTTCTTGTAGCACGCAACGTCATCCTCCGTGTCTCAATGTTCAGTCTGTCGATATTGATGACCGAGACTACAGGGACGGTTCTCACAGACAGCCTATTGCTTTGTCTCCCAGACGTCAATGGTCCAGAAGTCGATCCTCCCGAGTCTTCATGCCCCCTCCACCACTGATATCGTGGGATTAACGGCAGTTGAGGTACCTGTATGGGACGTATCCACCATCCATGCCGTGGTTGACTCCGGCGAGCTATTCTGATTGGGATCGCTATTCGTCCCACTCTGTTCACAGATTGAGGTCACCCCACACCAGGACTCCTCTGACTCCATGGAGGAAGACTCGGATACGGAAGCATCTGAGGCTCATACCTCTCCTGACCATAAATCTCCCAACCAGGATGTTGCTGAGGACTTACCCATATCCCCATCCGACAACCTTACATCGTATACAGATTTAGTAAAAAAAAATGGCCCACTCTTTAGGCCTCTCTGTTGTCCAGCAACATCCACAGGCAACAGATGTGGTTTATGATATAGTTCAGCTTGATACCTCTTCCACCTTGGCATCGCCTATGTCTTCTGTCCTTCTGCAAGCGGCAAAGACACCATGGCTAAAACCTTCATCTGCCCCTGTGTCCACGAGACGACTGGACCACATGTACAGGGTCCAGGAGGCAGATACTGAATTCCTCTTCTCGCACCCTCAGCCTAACTCGATGGTGATAACATCTTCCTCCAAATCCAAGAGGACTCATTCCGCACCTTCTGTCAAGGAAGGTAAGAAATTAGATGCCACCTCCCAGATGACAAACTTCAGGCAGCCAGAGTCATACAAAAAGAAGGCATGGTGTTGGCAAAACAACAGCTCAACACTACTAAGCATGTCCTCAAGGCGTCTTCCAGAACTATGGCATCTGCAATAGCTCTCAGGAGACATTCCTGGCTCCACAACACTAATCTGTCAATAGATACCAGATCTTATGTGGAAGACCTTCCCTTCAATGGCCTGGGGCTTTTCAACGCCACTACGGATTCTACTCTACAGGAGTTAGATAAAAGCATAAAGGCGTCTCGAGCTCTAGGAGTCTCATCCTCTGCAAGACAACCATACCGTCCACGCACCTGGTCGAGGTCCTGGCAGAGGCGTACCACAACTCATCAGTCTCCAGTGACACGATGGAGACCAAGAACGTCTTCGGGAGGCCAAAAGCCCACCTTCCAGAAACCAAAATTTGGTTCCAAACAACAAGCTTTCCGCACCAAACAGTCCAAACCTTCCAAACAGGGTTTTTGACTTCCCTGTCACCCTGTCAGCTCAAACCCGTCTGTCACCCTTTCTTCAAAATTGCTGTCACATCACCTCGGACGAGTGTGTACTGTCCATATTGTCCCGAGGCTACAAAATTCAGTTCCACCAGAACCTCCATACCCCGTCGTTGTCTCCACGCCCCCTTCCCCACCTCTCCTCGAGGAGGTGTCCGTTCTTCTGCAAAAGGGAGCCATCGTACATGTACCACCACACCTCCAAGGGATGGGATTTTATTCCCAATGCTTCACAGTCCTGAAGAGAGACGGAGGCGTTCGACCCATATTAGATCTAAGGGAACTGAATCGTTTTGTGACCTACCACCGCTTCAGCATGGTGTCCCTACAACAGATAATGCCATTACTTCGCAGACACATCTGGATGGCCACCCTCGACCTCCAAGACGCATATTTCCACCTTACTATCCACCCCTTCTACCGCCAATACCTACGTTTTGCGATTGGTCAACAGCACTACCAGTATACGGCCCTTCCATTCGGCCTCTCCAGCGCCCCAAAGGTCTTCACAAAGACTATGATTGTGGTTGCAGCTTTCTTCCATCTCCGAGGTAATTTCATCTACCCATTTATAGACGATTGGCTTCTGGTAGCACCTTCCAAGACTGCCCTGGTCTCAAACGTCAGAGACTCTGGCGCTATTGGACAATCTGGGCCTACGAGTCAATCAACAAAAGTCTCAATTGTGTCTGGTTTAATGAATACAGTACATCGGTGCACTACTGGATTCGACAACATGCTTGGCTTACCTGCCCCACGACAGGGCAACGGATATCATTTCCTTAGCCACCGTCGTCCGTACCCAACCCTCCGTCACAGCCTCCCAAATTCAGAGGCTGCTCAGCCTGATGGCTGCAACTACATCAGTTCTCCTCTTTGCCAGACTCAAAATGCACCCTTTACAGCTCTGGTTTATCCGCAACTACCTGTCAAAAAACGCACACACTGTCATCCTGTCCCCTCTTCCCAGCATATGGGACTCATTACTTTGGTGGACTGTCCCTTCGAATATCCTCCAGGGAGCGCCCTTCCACCCTCCGACACCCGAAGTCACCATAACGATGGATGCTTCCCTGACAGGATGGGGTGCACACTCCATGGGACTTTCTGTTGGAGACAAATGGGACGCGCAGATGAGGAAGCGACACATAAACTTCCTAGAGCTCCTGGCTATACAACACGCAGTCACCAGCTTCCTACCTTTAATCAAGGGAAAATGGGTCACGGTCCTCACGGACAACACGGCGCTCTCTTATGTCAACAGAGAGGGAGGCACTGTTTCCCTACGCCTCTGCCACCTTGCCATCCAATTGTGGGAGCTTTGCATTGCCAACAATATTTTCCTCGTGGCCACTAACATTCCTGGACACATGAACGTTCAGGCAGACCACCTAAGTCGAGCAGGACTCAGCCTTCACAAGTGGGGGATGAACCCAACATACCTCCTCCCCCTCTTCCACATGTGGGAAGCTCCCCAAGCCGATGTCTTTGCCACCAGAAACAACAAAAAGTGTCCTCTGTTCTGCAGTCGAGGAGGCAGGGACCCACAATCTCTGGGAGATTTACCCTTGGTCCACGGGACTTCTTTACCTGTTCCCCCCCCCCTTACCTCTGCTTCTGAGGGTGGTCCTCAAAATGCTCAGAGACGGCGCAGACTGCATCTTACTAACCCCATGGTGGCCCAGACAACCTTGGTTTTCAACAGTCCTCGAGTTATCAGAAGGGATATACCATCAATTCCCTCCGGCTCAAGACCTATTCCTCCTCTCCGACTCCCCTCTCTTACATCACGACATACCACAATTGAAATTGACGGCATGGAGAATAACATCACCGGCTTCTCCACCCGCGTAACGAACGTCTTGTTGAATTCCAGGAAACCTACTACGCGGAGGTCGTATGCGATTATAAATGGCGAAGGTTCTGTTCTTCCCTAGGTGATGACACCCCTCGAGCCGCCTCAGCGGGGCTCAGATGAGTTTTCCAATTCCTCCTCTCCCTAGCTGACTCGGGACTTTCCCACTCTTTGTTGAGAGTTTATTTGGCCACTCTTTCGGCCTACCATGTTCCAGTTGACGGATGTACTTTGTTTTCACATCCAATTTCAAAACATTTTTAAAAGGTTTATTGCATCTCTACCCTTCTGTCAAGACTCCAGTCGCTCTCTGGGACCTTCCTCTAGTTCTCCGCCAGCTCACGAGGAAGCCCTTTGAGCCGCTCGCAACATGCGACCTCAAACTTCTAGCATGGAAAACGGCCTTTTTAACTGCTGTCACCTCGGCTAGACGAGTGGGAGAAATATTGGCTTTCTGGCACGATACACCTTACCTGTCATTTTTGCCAGACGGAGTCCGCCTCGTCCCAGACATCTCCTTCCTGCCGAAGGTGGTGTCAAAGTTCCACCTGCAGGCGGAGGTCTTCCTCCCTGACTTCTTCCCAAAACGGAGGACAGATTATTACACACCTTGGACGTGAAGCGGGCTCTCCTGTTCTATCTCAATAGAACACACCCAACTAGGCGGGACTCACAACTTTTAGTCTCATACGCTTCGGCACGTCTGGGCACTCGCATCACGGCCCAGCGCCTGTCAAA